GTTGCCAAGTCGACTGGCGATACATCCAAGTGATAAGATGTCTCTACGAAGCCGCCACCATGTCTGTCCAAGTACAGAATCAGCAAACAAGTCCCATACCGTTGCATCGTGGAGTGAGACAAGGGGACGTTATTTCCCCGAAATTGTTCACTAATGCAATGGAGGATATGTTCAAGACGCTGAACTGGAAACGACATGGCATCAACATAAATGGCGAACGCATCTCTCACTTGCGATTTGCAGACGACATCGTCATCATGGCAGAAACCCTGCAGGACCTACAACAGATGCTGAATGACTTGGCTGACTCTTCTATACGCATCGGCCTACGGATGAACTTGGATAAAACCAAGGTCATGTTCAATGAACATGTTCTACCGGAACCGATTGCAATACACGGTGCCGTTCTCGAAGTTGTTCAAAAATATGTATACCTCGGGCAGACATTGCAGTTAGGTAGAAACAACTTTGAGGACGAGGTGAATAGAAGAGTTCGGCTAGGTTGGGCAGCGTTTGGGAAGCTACGTCAAGTCCTGACATCGTCGATCCCACAGTGCCTAAAGACGAAAGTCTTCAATCAGTGCGTCCTACCTGTGATGACATACGGAGCCGAGACGTGGACACTGACGGCACGGCTGATCCACAGGTTCAAAGTCGCTCAACGCGCTATGGAAAGGGCTATGCTCGGCGTTTCTCTGAAAGATCGCATCAGAAATGAGGTAATCCGACAGAGAACCAGAGTTATCGACATAGCCCACCGGATTAGCAAGTTGAAGTGGCAGTGGGCTGGCCATATTTGCCGAAGAACCGATAACCGTTGGGGTAGATGAGTTCTGGAGTGGAGACCGCGTCTAGGCAAACGTAGTGTAGGACGTCCTCAGGCACGATGGAGTGACGATTTGCGCAAGGGGGTCATCCATAAATTACGTCACACGAATTTCATGTCTTTTTTGCCCCTCCCCCCGTCCTTGTCACAGCTGGTCACATTTGTAAGACTCCCCCCCTCCCTAGTGTGACGTCACATATTTTGCAAATTTACATTTAGAAATCATTGAATGAAAACAGCGGTTCTGTAATCAGTTTTATTTCCATTTAAATTGTTTTTTCATTATTATTATAATCAAATCAAACAATTAACAAAACAAAAAAATTACCGAACAAAAAGTGATTGACTATGTTAATTAAAGAAATTAACAAAACATAAAATATTAATAGCATTATAATTATATTAAAGATACAAACTTAATAATCTTGAGTCCATGGACATTGATCCCACTCCTTTAAATTATTTATAACTGGCATAGCACCACTTTGTTCTCGTTTGGGTTGTTAATGCTTTCGTAAAGTAATAGTTTCAACACTTAGATTTTAATATATTTTGTAATGTGACGTCACGAAATTTAGGACCCCTCCCACCCCTTGTCACACGATGTCACATTTCGTCGACCCCCTCCCTACCCCTTAAAGTGTGACGTAATTTATGGATGGCCCCAAGGTGGCTGGCAGGAGCTGGATGCGAGTAGCCCAAGATCGATCTGAGTGGCGTGCATTTGGAGAGGCCTATGTCCAGCAGTGGACTATGATAGGCTGTTGATGATGATGATGATGATGATGAATAAGACAGTAACATAGATTTTGAAATAGAATGCGTATGTAAGTGACTTTTTTAATAGATATACATATTTCAAATAGGTACCCACAAAACAACGTAAATGGTCATTCTGTATATATTAAAACTCAACTTTAAACATGTCTAAACTTCAAAGATTCAAACTACAATGTAAACATTAAATATATAATAATAGTGAAGTGCATATGCGTCAATTATCCGCAAGGGTTTGTCGTTCAGGAGCTTCCAAATATAAAAAAAGCTCCGTGCGCCAGCACCAGTCATTATCTTACGGATTAATCTAGATTCTACAGATTGAACTAGCGCTAAGTTAGAGGACAAAGTTGCAAAGCAAACTTTAACATAGTGTCGAGTAGATTATATCCTAGAACTGATCACAAGCCAAGCCAGCATGCCAAGACGATATTAATGGCAATTATATTAATATTTCGGAAATTAATTTATGTTCGAAGTTATTAAATAATATACAAGGTTAAATATATATTACATAAAATTAAAACATGTCTTAATGAAACACATTATCCTCCTATTGAAAATTCGGGATCGTAAGAGGTATATTTGGTGTCCCGTCTACTTGGTTTTGTTCTCAGTCCGTCAGTCCACGCACAGTACTCATCCACTCCAATTAATAATTAGTTTAGGATTACGTGTCAGTATTGCGAGGTCGTATGCAAAGGCTAAGATGGACTTTGTGTATTTATTGTTCATTTTAAACCGATCGCCCCATTTTTCTCATAGACTTACATGATGCTTGCCTTGTCTATAAGAATATTTATAATTATATTACCTAAATGCTATTGGTGACAGGCAGCAGCTCTGAAAAAGCCCTGAATTATAATACAACTAGCAAACCAGTGAACCAAATGTTCAACAAAAAAAAAAAAAAAAAAAAAATTGAGAACTTCGGAGATTTTGTGTGGTTTCGTTTGAAATAGAGATCACGTGATTTCTCGAAAACCGGAAGTGCTACGTTACTCAAATCCGATTTGTAGTCTTATCAGACTATTCTTAACTTATAACTCAAACATTCTCTTTATCTATCTCTTACGGTTTGGCCGCTGAAACAGCACCACGGACGGACGGACGGACGGACTTGTCTAATAGATAAGAGATGGTTTTGTGTGTTCCTTGTTTGCTGCTATGACAAATTGTAATTGTGAGTAATATGTTGTGATTTTGTCGATGACCATAGAAGGAAAGTTATACCACTTCATAGTGAAGATCATTAGTTTATGCTGTACCGAATCAAATGTGTTTTCAAGGTCTATCTAGCAGACTGATATTTTTCTTTCATGTATTCTGGCATCTTTTATATTTTCCGCTACTAATGTGTTGTGTTCCAGGACTTCCAGGCAGCCAGAAATTCCATACAAGAACCCTTTTGATAGTTGGATCTGAAATACCACTTGGTGATCATAAATTTTGTTATTTTTGTTTGTAGTATGCTTGATCGATGTAGTATGCTAAAGAAAATTTTGGAAATTGTAATGGTTAGTTGTTATGTTATGTTATATTTCCCTGAAATGTGTAGGAGAGTTTTTGTTAACCATTTGTTTGTATAAATGATCCAGATCCCTGCACAAGCAGTCAGTTCAGCTGTGTTCTTACTCGCGATATGTCGTGAGTTAAGTAAATTCACTAGATTGTAAGGACAGAGTTCCAAATAAAGTTGAGTGGAACCAAGTCTCGCCACTTACTTATAATATAGTGCTACGCTATCAGTCAAAAAAAGATGCTATCTTTTGGATAAGTTATTTCTTCTTTTTTTTTGAATGAGTACGGACTGTAGCGTTCGGGATATTACGTAAAATTATTCACGTCCAAATTACCAGTGTCTCAAGATAAAATTCTTTAACCAGTGTGTGTTTCCAGTGATGCACAGCGAGCAATGGAAAGAGCGGTGCTTATTTCCCTACACGATAGAACCAGAAATGAGGGAATTCGTAGGAGAACTAAATTAATTGATATCACTCAAAGGATTGCTCTGCCAAAGTGGCAATGGGCGCATTTTAGTGACAGGACCACCCGCAGCTTCGTCACGCAGGTTTAGGATAAGCAGCGAGAAGACAAAATAAACAGGATTTATTCTAGTCTCTTTCACAAAGATACCAGTCATTCTTTCTCATTGGAGATTTGTAGTTTATTAAGTTAAACTGTTTAAAGAAATTATTTCCTTTAAGATGAACAAATATTCTTGATTCTAGGTTCATGAAGTCATCATACAATCATTAATTCCTTACGGAGTTGGCAGAACATCAAAGCTAGGATAGGGAGAGGTAAAATAAACTATTTTTGTTGCTTTATAAATCCTCGCGGATGCGAGATGCATTGTGAGAAATCAATTAGTTGGATTAAAATGTATCACAGTGCCAACCGTGATGGTTCAGTGTTAGATATAAGATATTATAATGACAGTGTAAAAGCAAAATCGCTTATACGCCACTTTGGTATTGCTTGAAAATTAACTTAATTTCAGTTTTTTTTAATGTTAATTTTAAGCACTAAAGTGACGTATAAGTGATTTTGATTTTCCACTGTCGTTATATTTATGATAGCAATATCCAACTTTATTGATTTAATTTATGAAAATAAAGCAACTTTCTCAAGGACCGTCACCAATGACCGAATAATTTGTCATCCACCGTATGACCGGTCATTCCACCAACCGGGTTTATCCGAGGCTTTCGAAGCACGAAGAAGTTGGAAATCCTCGTGGAAAACCTTAGATCGAAGCTGTATCAACCACAGAACACAGAAAGAGAGGAGAGGACCTCTTTCTGTGTTCTGTGGTATCAGCTATGTATCTACAAAGAAAGGTCGAGCGTGGTGAATTATGAAATATTATTATTATTGTCGATCTCCGTGGCCGAGTGTTATATACGCCGGGTTTCAAGGTGTCGCCAAATCGTGAGGCTGGAATCCGGGTTCGAATCTCCTTATGTCGGGGCAAATGTTAGTATGATGAATACGAGCATTTGTACCATACCTTATATAGTAATGGATATTTTTTATTTTTTAATATGAAAATATACTAATATCTTTATCAAATAAATGTATTTTATCCGATTCCTAGTATGCCCTAACACAAGCCTTACAGTGCTTACTTTGGGGCTAGGCTAATCGGTGTGTGGGAATCTCCCCATAGAGATCATATTGCTAAAGCGCCTCAACAATAAATCGTTCCCCGCCATTATACAGGATCTTAAGTGCACAATTGTGGGAATCTAATTGGCTTTCGGCCGCAAAAAATGTGACGTCGTATTCGTCGCGTAGGAAATCCGGTCATTCCCGGAAAAAGCAATAAATCTTGCCTAGCCGCAGATAGAGAGATCGGGCGCAGCGTGCGGGGCGGGGGTCGGGGCCGGGGAGGTGCGGGTACACCGCTCTTCTCTGCGTGGCAGATCGATAGCAGGGGTCCTGTGGCGCGACCCGCCCGTTGAGTTCGCTCGCTGGCGTTTACTCCGACATTACGCCGCGAAGCACTGCGCCGTACGCCCGCCCTTTCCGCGATTTATCTGCCGCCTCCGACGTCGACCCCAACGCGCGCGACCGTGTCCCATACCATGGAGGTAAGACTCGCTCATAAATAACTAGGAATAATATTAAAAACACACCTTTTTTCGAACGCCGCTACATGTATAGTGTATCGAGTGTCTTGTTATGAGTGCCATAGCACACGAATGCGGAGCTTTCATATTTGGCTGCAATGTTTCGAGCGAATTGATTTGTTTTGTGTTATTTTTAGATATTTCTCTTGCCAGTTTTTTAATTGATTATTGTTTTTGTATAGCTCCTTGTTATTATCAATCGTGAATGTGTGGTTTTTCAATATGAACGTTATTCAGTATGAACGTTGCCAGGTTCGTTCGTACTTTGACTGGGAATATCTGCTGAATGCGTTACATAATATCAAAAATTGAGTGCGCAGTATCATTGCCAGTGATAGGAAGAGTGAACAGAGCGGAAAGTGCGTGGTTGGTTGTCTGCGCACGTGTTAGCGTAACCTATGCAATTTACCCCGTCCCACTCTCGCCGTTAATCCGCGCGAATTTTGCGTGTCCACGAAAATTCAGCGGTGTCTTGAGTGTGAATCAATATAATGCGGGACAGCGGTTGGTCTCAACACATTCTCTGTTTACTTTCGCCCCAGAGTTAGTCTATCGATTTCAGTATTTAGGGCTGGGGAATTATTAAGCTCCAGCTTTATTGTTGCAAAACTAATGAGCGTTTTATTACGTAATTTGGTTTTAATTAGCCAAAATGTTATGTACATTCCGACATTATCTGTATGTTAACGAACATTACAATAGATTTTTTGCTGATGTGAAAGTAATCATTTGTTTATTAAATTCTACCAAATAAATGTACCCACCTAAATAGGCAGGTATTCATAGACATGGATAAATAATAACTGCCTATTTGCAACAAGAAAACGTCCCAAAAAACTTACTTATCTACTAACTGGTGTCGATTCTAACATGATTCCCTAAACCTAAACTTAAATTTGACAGCAGTATATCCTTGTCATTCTCTATACAGAATGAAAAGGAGAGACTGATGTTAAATTTAGTTTTAAGTTTAGAGAATCACGCCAGAATTGGTACCACTACTAACTTTTATTTAGGTGTAGACCAGTACAGGCCCACAGGGTTCCTTTTTCACGGTTTCAGATAATTGTTCGTTTATTATTATTCAAACACAAAATAAACATACAATCACACATGATCACATTGAACACAAACTTTGACGAACCTTAAAAACTCTATCATCTCATGTCTAAGCAACATAAACTTTTTTTTATCTTTGGGCGATTTTTAAAACTGGTTTTGTTAATAATAATCAATTTGTTTTATTTGTCACTTAACCAAAGAATCTTTGTTTAAACAAATTATACTCTACGATAATATAAAAATTCAACGGATAAAATTAGTTAAGCTTAGACTTCTTTGATATATGTGCAAAAATCAATAAATTAATAATTTACAATATGGCTAAATAATAAGAAAATAATAATGAATGGTGAATAAGAAATGAGAGACAATACCTACCTAATCCATTAGTAAGGGCTATCCCGTGTGTATATATGTGTGCATTCTGTGGCCATCTCAAAAATTTGGAAATTTTGTTTGGATTTTTTTGTTAATTTTCAAAACCATTAAATTTTTTATGATATTTAGTCCAGGTAAATTGTCGCCTTAAAATATAGGGTAATTTTCGTGAAATGCGGTAGTGCCGATATTTTGTACAGTTGTTTATGATGATGATAAGCGAAGTTTTTTTTCTTGTTTGTTCGTGTGTTGTTTTTGTGCAACGTTTTCTTTTCAAATAAAAACAGTTAGGTTGATCATGACGTTGTACTAATTATCACACTTCCAAACATTGATTTATTTCGATTTCCAAAAACCCGGCCCTTATTAGACGCAATTACCTTATTAAATATGTGCCTTACAGTTGAGCTTCTCGCGTATTACGCACAGTGAGAGACAGACAGACACTGTGGATGTGTAACAAACGGTGTTGTGGAAACACTTCAGTGTCTTTGTTCCTACCAGTCCGTTTGTTGCAAACATTGCAGCCTTACATTAAATTGCAGCGCTTCAATCGAAAACAAAAGGTACTTGTCACTTTTTAGCAGCCGAGAAAAATACCTTTTGTTCCCCCCTCCCGTTTTGTGAATTCTTTTATTTTTATTATATCGTGTTTATAAGTTCGTAATACTTATAATTTACTTAACGTTGCTAGCTGTTTTTAATGTCATTCAAAATATTTGTTTTTTTTCTTCGTAGCTTTTGCTAGTGCTATCGGAGTACCTACCTACGTAATGTTAATATCACAGAAGAAAAAAAACGGACATGCTGTTCACATGCGATATAAGTGAAACCTACAAAAATGTGAACACGTAAAAGTCCTTCATGACAAGGTACATCTTCAAGACAACACGTGTGTTAAAATTCAACTCTCTAGGTCGAAATAAAATATTTTATACTACTTAAATTGTTTCGAAAAATATTTAATAGCTGAATCAAACAAAAAAATGAAAACGTACGTTATGTTTAAAGACACTATTAAACTTATCCCTTAAAATAAATAATAATAAATATTTCCAACACTCACGCCAAATAGCCTAGCCCCAAGCTAAGCACTATAAGGCTTGTGTTATGGGATACTAGGGTAACGGATAGAATACATAAATTTATGTATAAGTATATTTATATAGAAATGCATATTAAACATCCATGACTGGAATACAAATGCTCGTATTCATCACACAAACATCTGCCCCCACCGGGATTCGAACCCGGGACCTTTCGAGTCAGCGTCACCATGAGACCCGGCGTACAAACCACTCGGCCAAGGAGGTCGTCGAAACATTAATATACTATTTATTTTTAAGTTATATTTTTCGCAAACAAAAATAAGCTTTATTACTTAGCCGTAAAATTTCATAAATGTACTTGCGACCGCACGCTCATCTAAGGAATTTTATGCAAACTATTTTAAAAGTTTGATAATTAAAGCACGCATACTCGTATAAGAAAATGATTAATTTCTCGATAGGTGGCGGCACTAAAACGAATTAAAAAAACAAATTATTTAGGTATATACTTTACAAAGTTTAGACACAAGCTATGTAGCGATTAACGAGCAAGAAATAAACTGAAATAAACATATCAGACGATATCCATTAAATAAATATTGTACAAAATCATATACATAATATTACTATTCAAAATTAGTTATTTGAAGTTTTTGTACATAAAAAAAATCTACGATAAAATAATTAGCCCGCCCGTATAAAGTTGACCCGACCGGCGGGGTTTATTGATTACAAAAACACTGCCTTGCTTTTGCGACAGATTAAAAAATGATGAAAAATCTCTGTTTGTAGAGATTATACGTACACGTATACAAAACACCTCGGTTGTTGTGATGTCTTTTCTCAAGTTTTGTACTCTTGCAAACGTCCTATGACACTTGAGTGTTATGAAAGTTTTACTGATTTTTAGTTCTCGTTACGTACTTTGTGCCGCTGCTGTTCAAGTTTCCATACAAAATTTGACATTGACATTTCGGGGTTTTTCCAAAATTCAGTCACTGGTGGTAAAAATATGGGACAAAAGTGTCAATTTCGAAGATAGAAATCTGAAAAATTATACATGAGCTTATGGTTAAGAACTAAAGGGGACGAATATCCAGAAATAAACATAAAATTCTTTCTGGATATTCATCCCCTTAGTGTTTGCAAAAGAGTATACCTTCTTAAAACTTTAATCCCTTACTCCCTTATTAATAAACGAGGAATAAGCTTAGACTAGTTACACCGTGTTTTGTTCCTATCAAAATGAATTTGTCATTCAATGAACAGAGACAAAACATGAAGTTTTAAAATCCTAGGTTATTCTTCAAAAAAAACGAGCGAGCCTTACAGTAGTTGCATATGATGTGCAACATTTGAAATCTCACCTTATATTAGTAAGAAAATAAATAAAACCTACTACAAAAGGAATAAGCCATTTGAACAGTATGCTCTAAAATCAAATCAAATAGCGCGCGCTTTCGCGACTTCCTGTTACACACTTCCGTCCCATTTCACGAAATCACTCCCACAAAGTACAGGAGGAGGAAAGCGAGAGGAGAGATGTTACACATAAAAATAAAACAAAATTCAATATCATTTATTCAGTCTAGGCTGTTACAAGCACTTGTGAATGTCGAAAAGTTAGGAGACCTTGTACTGAGGAGAACCGGCAAGAAACTCAGCAAGGGCTGTTTTTTTCTCCCTGTTTATATACAGAGTTGTCAAATTGAAAAATGACTTCAACGTGAGATAACTCATGAAGTCACTTTCCATTACAAATGTAAATTAATGATATAACAATTATGACTATAAAATAAAAAAAAATATAAAAAACAGATTTAAAAAAGTTTCGGAATGTCGTGTCCTACTGTTAAGGCATAAAAACAAATGCACGATTAAAGTTAAATACAACGATTAATAGGGTACTATTAATCGTTGTATTTAACCAATATAGCACTCGTTCACGAGCATGACGCATGAACCAGCGAGCGCATCGCTCAACCATATTTTAGGGAACGCAACGACCTGCCTTACACGACACCGCCGAAGAGAATTTTAAGAGAGCATGACTACCCATAACCACTCAAACCAAACTGCAAAATATTCACTTAGAATTAAGTTCATTTATCTGTACGAAACTGCAAACAAATACAAATCAAATTTACAGTTACAGCCATGCAGTTTTGTCATTCAAATATTCTTTAATAGTATAATAGACTTTCTTAAGTAAACAACTTTTAATGTGACATTTGAACTCATTTATGGGTAACTCAAGAATAGCATCAAAAATTTTATTATAAAAATGTATACCTTGACCCATAAAAGATCGGTAAAACTTCTGTAACCTGAAGGGTGGCAATACAAGCTTATTTCTATTCCTTGTGTTAAAATTATACACGTTACTGTGTTTGGTATACAAATTGATATTATTTTTATTAATAAGGGGGCGAGAGATTAACAAGTTGTATGTAGGCGTAAAGCTACATAGAC